GGCACTTATGTGCATCTATAAATGGTCCTTTACAAACGATATTTAAATAGTATGCATTTTATCCACTTCACCTTCTTTTAAAGGAGCACTCTTAGCTTGCATCTAAACACACAACTACACTGCACAACAGAGATGTGTACCAGCCAACAGAGACACATTCAAGGTGGGTGAGCATACACCCCACTGGTCAGAGCTAGTAAAACAGAGCTCCTTCCATGCCAACACAGACAATGGCTCAAAAACTAAGAACAATAATTTCTCTGCGAGGTATCTACTTGTGTTAGTGGCTGTCCTGGGTTCAGCAGACTGGGTTTAAACCACGACAGTGGCTGAATCTCAAATACTGCAACAAAAACTGATTACATACAGGAAAACATAAATGACAGAAAATTAATAACCAATGAAAAGAAACACAGAGACATGGATAGTACAATCAGTGGGAGATGAAATTATTTTAAAGCTACTTACTGCTAGTGCTCAGTTTTTAAAAGAATTTGGTTTACAGTTTAAAAACAACCTTACAGGTCATCTTACCAAGAAAAAAAAAATATATATACACACATATGTATATAAAATATATATACATATATATAAAATAGAAAAAAAAACCCAAGAAAGTTAGCAAACATCGGCATCCACTTACAAGTGAATTGTACTTGAATGATCAGATTTCACCTAACACAAAGTAAACTAAGCAAGAAATCTACAAATATTATAACCTACAAACAGGTTTTAACAGAAATAACCATCACTGCCCCACCCAGCCTCCCCAGAAGAGGTTTTGGGCTGCTGGAAATGCATGAAGTTTGTACATCCTCTTCCAAATTCTGTATCCTGTCTAGCCTCCTTGCTGTTGTAAGAAAGCACTAATACTGTATGTCTTGGGGGTTATGAAAATCCAACTTATATGCACACACCACACACCAGAAACACTTGCAAGGCTTTCATGTATTGTCACCTGAATGAATTTCTACAGTGAGCAAAATATATATATAATGTGCACACACAGAGTCATTGTATTGTCACCCTGATCCACTAGGAATTCTACTGTGTAATACTAAATGAGAGTCAGCTGAGGTTACCTTTGAGGCTGAATTATCATTATAAAAGCAAAATGTCATACAAAAGCTGTGAATTTTCATACACTCAGTGTCTAGAGGATCTTGATCTAAGTGATAATAAATTACGAGGCTGGCTCAGTTTAAATCAGCGCAGCTGGAGGGCTGTTCCTATATATAATCAAGCTATCCCTAACCATATGAGCCACTCCATCAACTACCGAATATCAGCTCTACCTTTGAAAGCTTGCTCCTACTAAGGCCAGAGGACAATAGAGAGGCATTATAAGCCTAGTTTGCCAATTTATGGAGTGATCTCATTAGATCTGAGACCAAACAAGGTGAGGGGTATAAAGCATACTGCAACTGCAATGCAAATATGAGATAAGAGGAATTTTAGTTGATGAGGAAAGTGTAAAGAAGGCAGTAATACTGGACTCCTTGACTCAGAAGATTGACCACATCAGAAATCTGTTTAGTTAGCACTTCTGAAGGATTCAGTCAACTTCTCCCTTGAGAGAAGTCTCTAAAGCAGATGTGCGCTACCCTCTTGTTTTGTGTCCAACAAGAATGCTGGCTGCTGAGTAGACATTGTTTTCATATAACCACAAGCTGCTGCTCTCAGAGGACAGGAAAGGGTGCTGCTTCTGAGTGGTGAGGTAGCGCAAAGGGAGAAGAGCTATGTGATCCCGTAAAAGAAATAAGAAAAGTGATCTTTGCCCAGAATAGTAGATGTTTCTTTATCTTTTTAGGTCAATCAAAACTACATCCTGCTATTAGTAAGACCAGTTTTAATTCAGCTTTAACCTGTCTTGCACACACTAGAAATGGAAAGAATCTGGGGAGACAAGACACTGGTATTATTGAGCACTTAGGTTATCTCCTTATAGCTGAAGGCATTGTACAGTACAGGAGGGGATACTTAATTCCTCACACTCCTTTAAGCAATAGTAAGGCACACAAAGTGGATGGATACTATGAAGAAATATGTCCCCACATTAGGACTGCATTGCTGACTCCTGCCATCTTCCAAATTACTAGGCAACAGTATCTTTGCCCTCAGTTATCATAGTTGTCCAAAATATACTTTGTGTTTAAAGAAAGAGATGAATGAGAAGGAAGGGAAAAGAGAAAAGGCTGTTAAGGCATTTTGGCACCTCATCCATAACCGTGATGCCCTCAGCAGATATATCCACTAAATCTCACGGTTATGAGATTATACCTCAAAGCAAAGCTTATTTCAAGAGCACTCACCATCAGATCCAATTGCTGAAGCAATTCAGCATACACTTAATGTTCTAATCTACTCTTTCCTTTCATTCAAGAGTGCTGGTCAAAGGATGGCAGGACAAGAAAATCAACAAAAAGCAGTTTATTTGAATGGCAGGACAAGGAAATCAACAAAAAAGCAGTTTATTTGAATGGATAAAAAAAAAAAAAGGAAAAATTTGAGAAGTGTCTGAATTCTTTTCTTGACTTGGTTAGTTGATTCATGAAACCAGTAACAAAAAACAAAACCCAAGAACACCCCAGTAGGATGAACTGTTGATAACAGGTGAATACGCATAGAACAAAATTTCCAAGTTCTGTCATTTCAATTGCACTCACTCATGTACTAATGGATATGTGTATAAAATCTAAATATAGATAAATGAAGTAAACTTTTAATCCTTAGCATGGCAAGCTTTATTCTCCAGACATACAATGACTGTGTAACCAAAGACACAAGAAGTCCAAATCACAGCTCCCCCTGAAGCATTATTTCTTACTACTGTGAAGATCCATAAAGTTAGACAAACTTCATATCAAGGGAAGCAAAACCATGCTGCTCCAGCAGCCTAGCATTTAGTTGCTGTGAAAAGGTCTGAAAGTCATGGATAGAAAATACATAATCAGAGTCTTAACACCTTGTGGCTGCTAAGCCACCGGTATGAAGAATTACAAGAGCACCTGTATTAGGTATCTTACAAAGCAAAACAGAGAACACACTGTTATAAATATTGCAGTGCAACCATGGATAAAAATAGACCTTTTTTTAAGGTATTATTTTTTCTTTAGTTGCTACCATTGCAAAAACAGGGAACTGTTCCACATCTGCTAAAGCTTGTTCCAGGATGTAGCATGTACATCAGTCCTCCACAACTTGAGTTTTGAAAGGAAAAAATGTTGCTGTTTTAATACACAGAAGAATGAAAAATTATCAGTTTAATAGACATTCCTCTCTTTTCCTTTCCAGATCTTGTACGGCTTTATCAATTGAAATAACTGCAAACAGCCTTTAATTATGATGTGCATGAGGCATTTCTGTGGCTCCCAACAAACACAGCACAGAGGTCTGACAAAATAAATTACTAATGAGCATTATAAGGCTTGATCTTTCCCCCATTCAAGCCAAAGACAATCCCCCTGCTTTGATCAGTGGAAGCAGGTCCAGTCGCTTTTGCTCAGCTTGCTTTAATAAAATGCTCTACATGAAAAATCACAATTGTACTATGCCGTGTGGATTAATCCCACACAAAACAGCCTGATCCTATTCTCACAGTGGAGTTTTCCAATTGACTGCAAATTAAAAAGGAAAAAATACATACCTCAGTAATTGTTAATAAAGCCTCTTTGGAGGTCTCTTACCTGCTATCAGGCTAGCAGAATGCATTTCCAGATCTAAATTTCAAAGTTAGCCTATGAAAATGTACAGATTTTCTCATCTGTATACTTAACACTTAAAAATATACCATAATACAAAATTAAGAATTACTTTAATTGAATTTAGAAAAATAACCAGAGGAAGTAGATACAGACAAATAATCAGAGTAGCTTCTGTAACACTAATAGCTGCATCAGAACTAGCACAAAAAACCCCATGATTCTAAGTTTAGGCTGAAATGGTCACCCTGACTAACTGTTCCTCCATCTAAACAAGCCTCGCTGTGATACATATCGTGGTTCAGACAGCAAGAGTTGCAACATCACGCAGCCAGTTTGAGTGCTCAAAAGTACACATTGTACAGACTGCAAAGAAAAAACACACTAATGATCCGACATCTAAATAATACTTGGCACTCAGATTGTAACTACATTATATTTAACCCTGGAAAGCATTTATATAAACTTTTGATAACCTTAGCTTTTCAGGCAGACCACAGGTTTTGCTGTCCTTTTCAGGAAGTCTGTAAAACAACACAGAAGTTAACAGCAGCCCAGGACAGCTTATTTTTCAAAACAAATATGGTCCTGTCAACTGAGTTATGAAAACAGCCAAGTTTCTAAAACTCTGACATCTCAAGTGCCATATTCTAACCTGGACGAGAGAATGCTTAGGAGTTGTGGAATGCTACCTGACAGATCATCTATCTTACCATTTTTAAAGTATCTTTATGGCTTTTCTTTGGCATGTGGTAACTACTGGTCTTCATTTATCTTCCTTGACTACTCTAGTAGCATTGCCTAAGAAGACAGTACTGAAAACACATAGGTGTTGGCACAGGGAATCGTTCTTCTGTTCTCTCCAGAAGGAGGGAACACCACCTTTGTCAGGCAGCACAGAAACATGTGCAGCTGACCAACCAACTTCGTTTCAGCTGCCTCCCAGTGACAGGCGGCCTCTGTTGAACACCCGCAGGGAAACACTCTCAGAAAATAGCGACTGATGACCAGCAACTAGTTTGACATCTTGTGGTTAAATATATAGTATTTACGTTTGTGAACTGTGTACTTTGAATTCAGCCATCTCAAACAACGCCGAGTTTGGTCCAGTGATGAACAGCGTCTGGAGCGTTTCATCACTGAGCTCGCACATTCTGACAAGTACTTGGAGTATTTCCGAGACATGGCACGGGCCATTCTTACGGCTGCCACACAAACTGGCCAAGCAACCCTCCGCTCGGCCGCACAGCAGCGCCTTACCTTCAGGCTGCTGTCCGCCATCGAACTTCACATTCCTACCTGACGCCCAGGTTTAACGGCCGCCTCCTCCCCTCAGCCTCGCGCCGCCGGCGGGCGCTAGGCCGTGTCCTGCCCCACGGCCACGCGGAGGGAGGGCAGCCGGGCCTCGCCTCTGGGTACTCTCTGGTGAGCGACCCCGCAGCGGGGGAACGGGCAAACTTCTGCCTGGACAGTTTCCCGCCCGGCCCGGCCCCACAGCGCTTCTTGAGGGGCTTCCCTGAGCGGAGCTGACAGGACCCCGCCGCGGGCATGCAGAACCCGGCCCGCACAGGTGCCAGAGGGTCCTGTCCCCCCGGCACCACAGCATCGCGGCTGCCTCAGGTGGAGGGCGGGCTGCGCCCATTCCCGGGGAGACCTCGCCTCCTAGCGCTGGCGCCGGGCCGCGCTGTCGGCAGCGGCAGGGGAGCGCCAGCTGCCTCCCGAGTCCCTCCACCTTCCTGCATCGGGCCCGCTACGTGACCGACCGCGACGGGAGGGAAAATGTGAGCGCCCGGCAAGGCCGTGAGAGAAGCGGCGTCCGGAGGGGGATGGCGAGCAGCCAGAGCTCCCCGGCTGCCCCTCAGCGAACAGCCGCAGCAAGCCCCGCGGCCCGTCCGGCCCCGCCGAACCCGGGGTGGCGCGGATGTTTTCGCGTTACCTTTCGAAGAGCAGCCGTATCATGAAGATGCAGAAGGCCAGGGGGAAGGCGAGGTAGAGGTCCTCCGCCTGCGGGAAGGCGGCTTCCTCTGTGCTCTGCAGGTCCGCCCAGGTGACGTTGTGCGGCAACCAGAACCGCTCGTTCCAGAACCAGGCAAGGATCCCTGCCATCTTTGCTTTGTCTGCCTCGGCGCCCCTCACTCCGCTCCGCCCGCGGCGAGGCGTGTGCGAGCGGCTACCGGGGGAGAGGAAGGTAGAGGAAGGCGTGTGTCAGCCCCACAGCCGCGGATGATGCTGCCGAGCGGCGCCCCGTGCTGTGCCGCTCCCCGCCCCGCCTGTCACACGGCCGCGCCGTCCCCCATTGGCTCCCTCCCGCGCCCCACGGCTGCTCCGGGGTCCGCCGTACTCCTGCAGCGGCCAAGCACAGCTTTCCTCCGCCCCTCTTCCCCTTTCCAAAAACCTGGCCAAATCCTGAACCAGAAATTACGCGGCCCGAGCGAGCCGGGACCCCGTCCTGGGGGCACTCACCGCGGCCGAGGCTGCTGCCGAGACGCAGGCTCCGCTTCAGCGCTGGCTCGGCGTACAACAGAGCTGGCGGCGGGGCGGCTCCTTGTCACCCGCCTGGCTGCTGACGGCCCGCCCGCTCTCCCGCCGCTCAGCCGGGCTCCCGGCGAGCCTGGAAGGCTGCTGCCTCATTTAAATAGGCAGATGGCAGCCACAAAAAGCCCTCCTTTTCTGACCTCCTCACAGGAACACGAACCGGTATCGGATGTCTCGGCCCGGTCCCCTGCCAGGAGGAGCACGGCTCTCTGCTTGCTCCTGCTGAGGCGTTTAGATGGCAGCGGAACTGTCCTGGGTAAAAGGACCCTCTGAAACACCCACCGGCTGAGCCTTGTATGCACGTACAGCAAACAGGCTTAAATGAGGCATGGAAAAGTGTGCGAGAACACTGCACTCGCCAGCAACAAAACTGAGGTTAGGACCGTGGCTTTGCACTCCCAGCTAAAGAAAACCTTTTGTCTTTACGTAGGCTTTTACTTTCGGTTCCTTACCCCACTGCCCAACCCACCTAGAGACAAGAGGAAAACTGTAATTGTCTCTACTAGACTTTACAGCATAATTGTCTTCACTAGACTTTACAGCAAAGGTGACTAGCAAGGTTTAGTTTTAATTGTAGCTACTGCACTATATGTGTGGTGGTCTGGGCACACACAAAATGACTTCAAGTAGTAGGTGTACTGCTTCTCTGACATTACTGGTTTGTCTGCCCTGCCTCACTTTATTTTAGATGGCTTCAGTTTTCTCCCCTCTATCATCACACTTTACAGATGGCTACTGAATACTGAGAGACACTGACTTCTGCATGTGGCGTACTCGAGCGTTTTATCACACTGCCTTTTGGTGTTCTGCTAGCTTGCTCTTTTCCCCCCACTGATTCTAATTGCCCTTCCTGAAAAATTAATTGCGCAGCCCTTCATGTCTGTGCTGACATTTCTGTGCTGAAGAACATATCAAGTTAAACACATGACCTTGGTGCTGATGAAAAATGCTATACTGGTTTTAATAAAACAAGCCGTTTGTGTATGCAGAGAGAATTTCCACCTAGGACATTTCAGGGAAGTTTCAGGAAATGCTTTGGCAGGATGGTTGAGGAGCCATGTGAGAAAACCACATTTCTGTTTTATTGCTGAGCCAACATCCTAAGTGTCTGTAGATACTCTGATTCATTTCTTGTGGTTGCTTAGGGAGAGAGAAGAGAGCTGGTACCTGAAGGCTGCTCCATAGAGCACCTAGTCCTTCAAAATCACCTGAAAAAAAAAAAAAAGCATGGGCTCTAGCACCACTACTAGATTTGCCTGCGTCTTCCTTTACTGCAGTTAGCATGGAGCTCACTGCCTGTGCTGATCTGAGCCCTCAGCTCCCCACTGGTTACAAGCCTATGCATGATCATCTCAGGATCCTACTATGGGTCTCTGACACGAGCTATCTGTCAGAACCTCAGGACTTTTCTGTGATTTCATTTCAGAGGGAAAACTGACCATGGGGGTTGCACGCCTCTAATGCAGCCTTCTTCACGTACAAGTAATGGTTTTCTAAGCAGAAGAAAACATATCTTTGCTCAAATCAGCAAGACCTCTTTTAGCCTGTGCCAAAAACTTAACTCACCAAAATTCACCTTCCTCCTTCCGATCTCCCTGCCTTGTTCTCACAACTGACCTAGAATCCCCCTAGAACTCCACCTGGGAGCTCATTTCCCAGCACTCTCACAAACACCTGAACTAGCTTCTGCACATACACATATGACTCTCTTCAGTTACAATTCCCAAATCATCCAGATCACTCAATTTTCTGAACTGTCTTAAGCCTGTCTTAAATGGGAGATACGAGTGTGTGTTCTCAAAGTGAACTCAGAAGCATAAGCTTTGAAATCTATTGATGAACTGCTCTTTAGATATCATTTTAATAGCTGACAATACACAGATGGCTATTTGCTTCATTAATGATAGTTGTGTTTAAGGCAAAGCTAATATTAATCAGAAAATTGGTATTATTATTCTGTACCTGAAGGTGACCTGTCTTTTCACAGGGTATTTCAATATTCCAATCAGTTCAGAAGTACATTCAATATTTATGTCCATTTCCAATTCAGTGACGTAGCTCTTTCCCAGTCAGCACTGAGGCTCACAGGTGCTGGTGCTTGGCACTGCTTAAGTACAGATACAGGAAAGGGACAGATCTTCAGAAAATGAACCTAGCAACAGTAATAACCTGATGATGCATAATTCCTGCTGAACAATTAGTGTAATTTACTTATGTGTCAGACTAAAATTATGTTAGGCAACAGATCTCTAGGCATCTCTGAAAATGAATGACATTTCTGAAACATTTGGGAGGATGACCAATTAAGAGCTTTTAATTGAGTTCAGATTGTAGCAGCAATTATGTAGATGTAACCAAGACAGGACTATGGAACGAGGATGCCCGAATCTTGAGCTTTGGAGGGAGATACTATCGGAATTTTTTTGTGTGCCCCCCTAAACTGTTATATCACAAAAGGGAGACCAACAGAACTTTTATAGCTGTGGTTTCATATATGGTCTTACAACCTGAAGCAACTTACTCTAAGATAGTGCTAGAACTTGGCAAAAAAAAAAAAAAAAAAAAAGGATAAAAGGGAGTCCTCAAAATCCCAGCCTAGGTGCTTCTAGTAACACACAAGAGTTAGTAATAACAAAAAACGTATATACAAATTCCCAAAAAGTTACTGAACTTCTGTTTCTACTCCAAAAAGAAAAAGAGAAAGCTGACAGATTGCATATCACTAGTTCCAAGTCCTTGAGTAACCAGCAGAGTGGAGTGGCCACTCCAAAACGAAGGACTTACTTACTGTTTATGTCTTGTTTGTTTAGCACCAAGAAACCAGGTTAGATCTCAGGCACTAAAGTTTCCTTCAGTTTAGGAATAAAATTATTGTTCTTAGTCTAATGAAGTTCATGTATTCCAGTGAATGCACATCAGCCTCACTTCTCCTCATGGACATGAAATTGTAGTAGCCTTTTCATACCACATGAGGAAACCACTAGTACTTCCTTACAGATCAGAAAAAAAATATGTGACTGTCACTTTTCAATGCAGATATGTTTCCATACATTAAAATTCAGAAAATTTTCTGATAAATATATGTTTGTACTCTATCAGTATTAAACTGCTTAAAATAGGCAGTGGTTTATGCTCTCTTAGGCTTCCACACAGGTATAAACACACACACAAAGTGAAATTTAAAAATAAAAATGAGCAGTATTTAGACATTACTCCAAAGTAAGAGAGTTGCTGTAAGTAGTGGTACACATAAGATATCAGTTGATCAGGACCATGTTCAACAGGTACTGCAAAAATTGCGTGGAGAAGCAGCATGCTGTTTAGCTCAGCTATGTAGCACAGAAATGCCACTTGAAGTTTTCAAGCACAACATTCATGCTGCAAATGTTGCTCGAGTTACAAGCTCATAACGAAATCTTGGAGGCTTCCTTGAAGGATATTGAGAGAGATCATTCCTACTGGGAGCATGTCTTGAAAGCAGCTTTACTACTTTATGGTGGGTAGTAGCCCAGTATTTTTATTTGCCTGTCACAGTTTATTTATCCATCTGCAGTCAACAGGAGCATGTACTGCATCTCTAAACCACAGTTTGGGAGTGTGTATTTGTTAGTACCAATATGTCTTTGGCACACTGTTGGCCACCTAAAGGAGTTAGTCCACCAAAACAGGAAAAGCTACAGCAAAACCTCTTGATTTTAAAAGACTGTTGCAAAATTGAAAAAAAAACAGCCATTTCTTTTTTTTTTTATCTTATTTAGTCTGCTGTAATTCTGGAGTACTGCCAGGCTTACACACAGGGAACTGCAGTCACACTCTGGGCCAGTCAATTTAATGGACCGCATAGTACAGATGCCAATAGCACAATCCACTGAAACTTTTTATTACCCAAATCTAAATCATGTTGTTCCTGAGCAGAAGAGATGGCTATGGCTGATCCATGTAAAAGCAGCTGTGCCAGTCCCATTTCCATAGGTCCATTTCATTAGGCTACTAATGATGTGCGTAGCAGAAGGGTTGAGAACTGCACAGGTGTAGCATGACTGTTCTGTGCCTTCTTGGGGAGGGTGGAGGACCATGAGCATAGGGGAGGCAACTGTGCAAGCACGGCCGTGAGCTGTCATTATTCTAGCATGTCTTCCCACCTGCTGGTTCCAGAAGCTGTGGGGAATTCCAGTTTCTTATGCTGCTGGCTTTGTAAACTTCTCTAATAATTTCACCTAAGGAGTAAAATTGTACAGAGCAGCAATCTGAATTACAAAACCTATGCTGGGGCAGTCAAATCAGTCCTGACTCTTGCATGGGGTG